GCACTCAAAATGAATCCGTAGTTATCCTGAAAAAATGTTTACCATAATTTGATGAGTTTGGCTACTCAGTAAGTGATCATCATAATCATAAAAATAATCATGATTGAAAGATATCAATATTTTCCAAAAAGGAGATCTATTAACAGAAATACATTAACAGGTTCACTTTAAAAAAAATGCATAATTAAGTACAATTCGAATAATTGAAATGCTTATAATACTTTAACGGCAGTACATAATTCAAAGGATTTCACAAAATACCCTACTGGCATCCCAAGTAGGTCACCTATATACCCCATCAGCGTCCTGATGGGTCCACTTAATCCCTATCGGCGTCCCAGATAGGTCCACTTAATCCCTGCAGGTCCACTTATACCTCACCGGCGTACCAAATGAGTCCACTTAATCCCTACCGGCGTCCCAGATAGGTCCACTTATACCTCACCGGCGAACCGGATGAGTCCACTTGCATACTTAAATTATTTCTAAATCTCTTTAAACATTCGAAAGCAGCAATATCATGTACTCAACATATCACTAAAACCATTAATATGAATTTCACTTAAACCATTAATAACAGTCACTCTCTATAATATTTCAAAAATAACCAATCAAATATTTTGGGCTCAAATTTAGAAAGGTAGCAGTTTGTAAAGGCATTCTAGAATAATTGCCAATTTAATATGTATAGAAAAAAAAACTCTTATAAAAATTCAAGAATACGGAATTATCACAATTTATGGAATATCAATTCACAAATAAACATTTCACAACAATACTATAATCAATTGCAAAAATGTCAATTTTTAAATAATAAGGCAGTCATTTGCACATGAATTTTACAATGTCTAAATATTGAAAACAGTAGAAAGAAATATCACAATTTTACTAAAAGCAGAAATATCAAATTTATTTCTAACAATAGACAAGAAAAATAAATAAATTTATTTTTCTAATTTACAGCATTCAAAATTTCTAACAGACTTTTATCGTACGAAAACCACGTCCGCTAAAGGACGTTGCCAGCTGCAAGCAGCAGGAGGCAAAAGCAGGCAAAAGAAAAAAGTAAAGGCAAAGGCAAATCTTTTGAAAATAGTGATGGTCCTCAAGGACCATCATATTCAAACAGAACATCACCTATTTAAAAGCATATTTTCTCCTTTTTTCTTTTTTTTTTTTTTTGAAATTTTAGGATTGTTACACCTACCCACTGCAGCTTGCCAGAATTCCACTTTTCCGGCCTAACCCTACGATGGTGGACAACCTCCTGCCACCCAGTTCTCCCATCCGAGTCACTGTCAACCTTCTTCATTCCTGAATGGATAGAGCCTCTTTCAACACCTTCATGCATCACATAAATGGAGAAAAAATCTTGACCTACTTGCAAAGTCAAGAGCTTAGGGATAAGTGCACCTTCCAATTTCCAGATCCGAACCCTAACGGACCGAAGATCTGCCCCAGTGAATGCAGACTTGTCAATATCACAAAACTCACAACATTTGTTAGCAAGTTTACAAAAAGTTGGTAGTGACCAAGCATGAACAGGTATACCCAATAGTCTGATCCACAAGCTACCTTTTTGAAGGTACAAACGATGAGAATCCGGCTTCCAAGGGTCAAGGGATAACAACTTCCCTCTAATACGCACAAATCGGTTCTTCAAAGCCTCAATAGAATCCTCCTTAGAATGGAGGAGAAAGATGATCTTGTTCTCCCCTATAACCGTAACTTTTGGAGCATACGATAATCTCCAACTCCTTCTAGCCCAATCAGAAAGACCGAAAATGTCAATCAAAGGGGGAGATAAAGAGCCTACCATATAGAACTGCACCTCTGAGAGAAGGCCTCCTGTGAGATCGTACCTAATACTGACCACCGTCGCACTATCTCTCCCTTCAGCATCACCATCCTTGTCAGAGTCCGTGGACACCTTCACCATCTCTCCCCGTTTCAGTCAAGCTGAGTTATTTGGACTTTTTGATTCCTCTCTCTCTCCTCACACACACTCTCTTTCTTCATTTTCTTTTGAGGAGACCATGAGCTTCTTCAGCCTTCTTCACTCTCTTCCCCGATCCAATCTCTACAACTTGTTTTTCTCTCTTTCTCTGTCTATAGGAGATTCATTCATGGTCTATGTTGATGCCAAACTGATGGAATCGAGTTTTCTCCCATATAAGATAGATACTTGAACACCTTTTGAGCATCTTTATAAACACTTTTCTCTACAAATTCATAGCAAGAACCAAAGTTCTCCTAAAACAAAGGACATGTTTTTTAAAGATTTGCTTGGGATAAAAATATAGAATCAAAGTGGATAAAGTTGATTCAAGGGGTTAGAAGATATAATACATGGGATCTCTATGCTCCAAGATATGTTTTGAAATCCTGGATCTATTGATAAATAAAACCTTAAAAACAAAGGGTATGAAGATATTTTCTCTTTTTAAAATATGCTTCAATTTCAACTATTTAATATTTTATATTTTTCAACTATTTCAGGCCAAAATCATATGTATTTTGATGGTATTTTGAAAATAAATATTTTTTAATATTATTTTGAAATACACTTAAGATATTTTAAAAATAAATAAAAATACCTCAAGTGTACTTTGATAAATCCCTTGTTATAACTCATTTCTAAATAGAAAATTTCACCTAGTTTTGAACATGGGCACGACATAGGAGTTTACTGCCATGGAATTTCTATGCAATTGAGAAAAGGAGAGCATTATTAATTCATTTTCACGACCTTGGCTTCCAAATTTACAAGTTCTTGGGGATTAGTAGAGAGAGAGGGAAACAACCTTAATTGCTTTTGGAATAGGGAAAATTACCAAAAAAAACCTCCAAAATATACTATTTATGCAACTTACCCCATCCAAACCTTTTCTCTCACTTTTTTCTATGCAAAAAACCCCCAAAGTAAAAAGTTCTTTTTTTTAGACGGAAATGCGATTCCCATATAAAATTCAATTTGGCGAGATTTGACGTTTCACAAGTTTTGCCGGAGCGCTATTGCTGAAGCGGCCTTCGCTACTGCCGAAACAATGTGTCTCACAAGTTCTATTGTCAGAATGCCCTTTGCAACTGCCGGAGCACCCTTTTCAACTGCCAGAGCACTCTTTTCAACTGTCGGAGCGCCCTTTGCTACTATCAGAGCGTTGTGTCTTACAGGTTCTACTGCTGGAGAGATAGGCGTGTGTAATAGTGTTAAGGGTAGTTTAGTCTTTTCTTTATTTGTTTTGGTTTGGGGGTTATTTGCATGAAAAGTTTCTTGTAGGGAAAAAACTAAGAAAGAAAAATTAAGTTAGGGTAAGTTGCATAGATAATGCAGTCTTAGGGGGTTTTTTTTTTTTTTTTTGGTAATTTTCTCTATTGAATAAGAGAAGAGAGAAGAAATGAAGAAAAATATGTATGGTCCATGTGATCACAGAAAAAGCTATACTCGTGTGTTTATCTCACCCAATCCGACGGAAAGTGATGATGTAAAGAGGTGAAAATCCACCAATGATCATCATCTAGATTCTATGCCCCACGCAACTCGCACACTGTCTCTGACCATCCTTTGAATCGTGTCGGACACTTGTGACTATAGCTACTCTATGGTCATATGGATCACACCGTACTTTTTCATGTAATGAGAACGTGACACGAAATGACGCCGCTTTCCCTCCTAAACACTGTTTAAAACAAGTGCAAAAACGTTTCAAGAGATCAGTCGTTAAAGACTATATTTGGGCGTATCTGGGCCGTCAAAAATCATCTGCTCCTTTTTCGGACGTGCGCCCGACTATAAATACAGCAAAACAGGCATACAAATTTTATAATTTCGAGACACCTCTACCATTTCACAGCTTGAGAATCGCGTTTTGTTCTTGTGAATCACAACTCTCAGTGTTTTACAGCTCTAGAAATTTCTCTTTCCAGGTGAAGTTGTTCTTCTTTATTCTACTTAATTAGCATTCTCATGGCTTCTTTTTCGATTTTAGAACTATTTCCTCAATGAAATATACCAAGAATATGTACTCTGCAATTTAAGCTCCAAAAATTCCCATCTAGTAGGCGGTTGTTCCTTGTTCTTCTGTGAAATCTTATACTTATAGTCATATTTTTCTACTTAACATCATTTCCTGTATGAAGTAAACCAGATATGTGCACGTTTTCTGCAATTTATTCTCGGAAAATTCAGTTCCAAATCTACTGTAACATCATAGACCAGAAATATAAGTTCTCCTTCAATTTAAGCTTCGCAAATTAACTTCACTGGTGATCGATTCTTTCATCTCCTGAGAATTCTTTTTTCTCATGGCCATTCTGCATTAATATCATTTCCCATATGGAACTAGACCAGATTTGTGCTTTCTTTCAGATGCAAATTTACGCATTTCTATTGGATAATTGGAATTTTAAAAGTCAACTGATAATGAAGAGATTTGTAGACTTTGCTTTGAAATCAGCCATATAGAATAGAAGCTCGTAAAATTCTTTCCAATTATTGTTAGAAAGAAATTATTTCTAATAAGTGGTGATTATAAATAGTTTGATTATTGAGGATGTGAATTGGCACATTGCATTTTAGAAGAATGTTCAAGAGATGGACAGCTGTGGCCTAATTTTTTAATGGGAAATCATCATTGCTATTTCTGATTTTGTTTCTGCATCTAAGTCTGTAATTCATCTGTTATTCGTAGCATTCAAGTCATGAACGATATTCATTGACAGTCAATCACTTAAACTTTGATGATCCATGATGCTAATTATAAGCTCTTGAATGGAACTTCTTGGCAATTTTTAAGTTAAAAAGGCATGGCATAGACTTAGATATCATTGTATATTGCGTATAGATTTTGGCATTTTAATTCTTCCATGTTTGATATATGATTTTTTTTCCCCCTTATCTATTACATGCTTGGTAAGCAATACTTATGGATTGTTGTTACATCACTTTAAATATTCTTACTTCATATGTATTTCTAGTTAGCTTTAGGAGCATGTCAAGCTGAGTTTTATGTCACTGTAGGACATTCGGAGTTGCTTAAAATTTTAATTGTCTCTTCATGATCAAGTCAAACTGCAGGTTTTGTGCAACTTTTGGATTTTGAGCTAAAGATTACCACCTATATGTGTTCAATAGTTTGGATGTTTAGCCTTTGAGTGATGCACTGCTACAGAAAATCAGATTAATGTAGTCTTTAAACACTGCTAACTAAATTACATAGAAGAGATCTGGAAAATGTGGACTTTATCATGAATAGACAATTAAAATTTGGACTATTTAGTGATTGTATCAAATTAGCGGCTTTACTTACCGGAGGATCTATTTATTGAAACCAAGCACCTTAAAAGTGAGGTTTGCGATGTATTATGAGAATATACTCTGAAATAGGAGGATGGTGTTACTTGAATATTTTGTACCTTTCTTAACACTGTTTACTGAAGTACATACCAAGTAGAGGTCAAGAAAATATGGAGTATGGAATGGTATATCAAAAATAGCATTCTATTTACCTTTGTAATAGCAGGATTCTGCTTGGTGGAACATAACACCTTGAAAGTAACTTTTGTAACAAGATAACACAGTGTTTACCTTGATTGGATTCTCAAATTGTTAGTGGAAGTACATTTCATATTCAAATTCCCGACCTAAATGGATGCACACCAAGATCTTTTAGAGGTAAAACTTTGACAAAATCTGTGGACTCCATTTGACTTTCTCTTTTTCTTTTTTTTGGATCCCTTGAAACTACTCTAGTACGCATTTTCCTCAATCATGTTTTGCTACCTATTTTTGAAGTAGTTTTATTTAGTTATTTATTTAGGAAAAGTATACAGGCAAAGTATACAAATAGACTATTTACTTTCCACAATCACTCTTGTACGTCAAATTTCAAATCCGGTGGTTGTAAGAGTGTCAATGGCTAGACTCAAAGTTAAAAAAAAAAAGAAGGAAAATTCTCAAACTTCGTAACACACCCTATGCCATCCACTTCGACATCAAATAATTGTGACCTACTTGTAACAAATATAAATGGTCTCATAGTTCTAATCTATGTACCAAGAAGATAAAAAAGCTCAATCGAATCTGAACAGTACACAAACTCTATGGTTTCAACCATAAATTTCTCTGCTTGAAACCATTGTTCTTCTTACCTGAAATTCCTAAATGATTGCAGAGACATAACATTCAATCATCTATCTATATGCAAAATGTCGGAATCATGGAAGGGGTCATCCTCAACTGCTGGTTCAAAAAAGGAAAGCAAGATTCTCGGTATGATTATTGAAAGCCCTTTCATCCATGGCATGGCATGGCACATAAGTAATATATGGTAGGCTCTGAACATATGTTCCAGTTTCATTTTACATTCATCCCATGACCAATTAGGTATCTTGAGGGTAGAATCTTGGTTAGATAAAAACAATTTCAATTCACTTGACAGAATCTAACCTTTGATGATGATCACATAAAAAGTCACAAGAATCAGTTGGAATGGTCCACTTTTCATTTGGATTTTCATCTCCGAGTTCATAGTAAGATTAGTTAAATTGAATTTATTACGAAAATATTACCTTAGCAAAGAGAATGATATGGTTCTGGTTTCTACTTGAGATAGATGATGAGCTTGGAGAAGAGCTCCTCATGTCTTGGACATTGGGAGGAAAAGGGACAGATCCTTTGGATTTTGATTGTGAAACAGTTCCCATACGCAAAAAGCACACATTCAGCTCGGATAAATTGTGAGTGCATAGACACTAAACCTTTGGTTTGGATTATATAGCCAAAAAAGTGGTTGATGTCTTACTTTTTTGACATGGTGTTAGTTGCAATTGTATTCAATTATTCTGCATTCTGTTTATGTGGAACGAAGAGATAGGGAGATAGCCACATGAAATGTGCTGTAACTACTGGAAGTTGATTTGGTTTATTTACGAAATTCCTTTTCTGTCTTTTTCTTGGGCTTTCTTAACCTTTGTGGCTTCACCAAGCTGCCTGGAGGTCAACCTGTTACGTGCAGTTTGTTGCAGAGTCTTTGTTGATTTTCTTTGTGTTTTGTTTAAAATTTTTAAGTCATGAGCTATTTCTTTGATGTCATGATATCCTTAGTTCATTTCTAGATGCCCGTATGCTAAAAGCATACATGATATTAGGCATTGCTATTCAATGCACTATTAGTGCTACTGTGATAGTCGTGATTAGTCTTCATGGTCATACAAGATTTCTGTATACATTAAACGTGTGCTTAAAATCTTGTCATGCCAACTTGGGAATCACCCTAGTTGTCCATGATCAGTACCCTGGTGATTCTAAAGGGAGAAGTGCAAAAATCGGGCTAGTCTCAATTGTTTTTTGCAGAAAATCGGCCGAGATGGACCTAAGATTTGGCCATTTCTGTGATGGACTCGGGCTCGGACCCTGACTAGGCTGAGCCCGAGTGCATAGTTTAAGCACTGCATTCTAAAATCTGATATCTATTCTTAATTCTGTACATTTTTTATCCAGAGATGAGGACTTCGCATTTGATGGCTGTTTTGAAAAACTAGCTTCATTCAAAGTCGACATGTCTGACCTGGATTTCTCTAGCCCACCTAGAAACCCCCAGAAGAACAGTAAAACTGGAAAGGAGGCCGAGGTACAAGAGGACAGGACACGTGAGCGGTTCAAATTTAGTTTTGATTTCAATGAGTAAGTTCACCAGGTTGTCTTCTTTCAACCCCCCTTCTTGATTGATAGTTCACAAGTCTTTTTCTGTTTGGTAAATTAATATACCCAGAATGTTTGCTTGAGAATCCTTTTCTATCATATTGTAGATAATGGTTGTTACTTTTGTTTTCTATATTTATATTGACCTCTCTGTCAGTGGCATTTGTAGTTTGCTTTGGGAGTTCCTGACTGGAATGTGGTTTTCAGGTTAGGTAATTTTGACTTGAATCAGAGCATGATGAAAGGGGAGAGTAAATCCAGAGCAATTTCAGATATTAAAGGATTTGATGATTTTGATAAATGTGATAAGAATCAAGAAGACTTAAACCGGGCTAAAAGAAATGACTCTCCCTCTGAAAATATTCATATTGATGATATGCCAAAAGGAGAGAAGGAGGTCGCTTCAAAGTTAACTAGTCCCAGTGTCATTGATGAAGAGATCAAAACTGCACAAAAGATTTCTTCCTACACATCTGTGCTGACTGCTGACCGCAATTCTCTTGATGATGTGCTGGCTTTGCCAACCAGAAAGGCACCTAAACAAGACCATGAAGCAGCAAACAAGGCCATTAAATCTGAAATTTCAGCAGAAAAATCAGCTATGAAATCCAAAGATCCCATACTGCAAATAGAACCTCCTCCGTCAAAAACAGTAAATTGTGCAGTCAATTCTGAAGTCAGTGATAGTACATGCCTGGTTCCAAGTGGTACTTTAGAACAGAGGCCTTCGTCACAATCCAAGATCTCAAACCCTGATATTGTAAACAATTCAAAAGCTGCTGCTCCAAAGTGTACATCAAAACCAGAGAATGGAGATGGGAGCTCTTCAGACAAATCTGATCATGTTGCCAAAGAAAATGTGAATGATAGTGCACCTGTACAAAGTGGTGAGCATGCTGTTGTTACGAGTGCAAGACAGGAAACGATGCCCAATAAGTTGGAAGCTTTGGGAGGAAATATTAGTTCAATTGCGAAGATTACGTTGGTGCCTATGCAGAAGTAGGTTGAAGTTTTAAATATGTTTTCATTAACTTGCCTTTTTATATTTGTATTATTATATTAACTGAACTTGATCACTTTTTCTCAATCGAGGGACTTCTCGTCCTTTAAATATGGGCGCATATTTTGAAGTGGGATCGACGTAATAAGCTTTAGACATTGTGCTGACAATGAAACGGTCTCCTAATGCTCTTTTGAATACAGTGTTAATACAAGTTTCTTTCATTGTCTACAATTTCCCAAATAGATGGAGTGGGAAGTTGAGCTTCTTTTATCAGTCATGGAGAACTGGAAATTTCGTAGTGCATCCAACTTCATGTATCTTTGCATCCCTGTTAAAAATATTCAGTAAGGATGAATGGTATTAGCCATAGGCAGCCAATTATTATTCAATTCAGAGCAACTCTTGAGAAGTAGAAAGAATAGGATTGGGAAGCGAGTAATATTTGATTTACTTCTTAAATTTATTTCATTGTTCCAATCAGTTTTGCCTTAATGCAGGACCTCCAAAAATGAGCTCAATCTTATGATGGACAAACGAAATGAGGCTATCGGCACCAATCTACTCAACAAATTAAAGTACTCTAACTCTTTAGTTCACTTTTCGGCAACTTCAAAGCAGAATCATGGCCTCTACAAGCAACACATGGAGCATATTTGCTCAGAATCAAATGTTGAAAATGCAAGGTAGTTTAGGGCTTTGAGAGCCAATAAAGGAAAGAAAGCACATGGCAAATTTAATATTTAATTTCTTGAAGTGTTTGACTATGCAGTAAGAAAGCTGAAAAAGATGGAAAACAGCAAGAACATCAGGCAAAGGATAATCCTGTGTCATGTGGTCCTGCCACACTAAAGGATAATTCTGCTAATATAAGGTATGTCCTTTGTAGCTTTTATTTATCTTTGAATCTTTGAATTAACTGAGTGGTTTTCTTCAGTTGGTCATGGTTATGTGCCATGGGTAACTTGTTAAAAGTGTATTCTGGAGTTGGACATATGGATTTCTAACAATTACACATTTATGTTTTAAGATGATCCTGTGGATGCATGTACTAAACATTTTCTATTAGAATAAAGAGTGATTGTTTAAGTAGTTTGGTCTTCTCTAGCTATTGTTTGTCATCGTATCACCTCAGCAGGGCATTTCAGTTCTCTTTTACATCTCTATTTACATTTACTATTGTCTCATCCTCAGAATTTGATTAGCAGGATTCATCTTTATTTTTAGCATGAAGTGTTGTTGACAATGATGTGATTCGGTTGGAGAACCTTTGAACTTCAAAAGAAACTGTGCTTCAGACAATATAATTTTGTTGATGAAATGAACAGTTTTTTATGCTGTCACAAGTCAATATCCAATAATTTTCTGTGGCTTACTATGGTGAGATGTATCATTGGAACAAATCCTGAACAAGATGATTGGTCTCACACTGCAGTAGATGTGAGTTCATTTAGCATGGGAGTGACCTATGAAATCAGTGAATTCTTTTTAGGTTGATGTCCTTATTGATTATGGATTCACTTGAGAGTAGAAGTGAGAATCCAGAGGTGTTCTCTCATAAAAGAAACAGATAGCCACAAATGTGCTACGTAGTTGCCCTAAGAACATTAACCAGATATGTATTTGTTGTGCAAATTCGGGAGCCGATTTATTTCTGTAGTGCTCTAGTACTGCTGGAATTATTAATCTGTACACTATCACTTTTAAGTGCCCACCTCGCATGCTGTTCTGGTAACCGAAATATTTTCCTTATATATTTGCCTTTTTGTAGGCTATTGCCCATTTACATGGAAGGGGAATGTCTTTTTCCTTCACTTATATTTATTTTGAATGTAGATCCTTTCTTTCTTGTTGATTTTATGTTTCAACATGCGCGTAAGTAGCTGGTACTGCAGTCCTGAAGAGATATTGCTTTGGATGGGTAACATTCCTCAATCACCAGTCCTTTGTATTTATCAAGACCATCATTTGATTTTTAGGTTGACTTAGAATTATTTCTATGATATGTAATCACTTCTATTAATAGCATTGCAAGAAGTACTCCAAAACAAGGACCCGGTCTTCAACTCCCTAAGGTCTGAGCCAGAGTCAGCCATTTTGACTTGTGTGGGTCAGGACAAGACTCAGCCGAGTCTGTAAAAAATTAACCAAAAAAAATTGTCATGAGTCAGCTTGGCTATTTTTGAAACACTTATTGCAAGGTTATACTTCTGCATCTTATGTTTCCATTACAGGCTCTATTATATTGCTATAGAACTGTGAAACAGAACTTTGATCAATCCATCCTAAGATCAGGGATGAGATTGGGTTGAAAAACATATTGTAAATGAACACTATGGTGTCTAAATGATTTTTCTGTAGCTTCCTTTTGTCTGAGAAGATTGCAACTGGCAAATCAAAAGAGGGTCCTTCAAAACACTTGGGTTCAAATGTATCTCCCAGAATAGAATTAAAGATGGCATCTATTGGAAAGAGCATGTCTTCTCCTCATAACATTGAAAGGATATGTGATATCTCCAGCTTGAAAAGGTCAAGGTACATTGATGCCTATCATGATATTTTTCTGTGCTAAAATTTGTTCGTTTTATTGACATTTTGAATACTTTTTTACTTTAACTCCAACATGACACAGGGATCTGAGTTCCCCCAGAGTCCAGAATGCAATGGCATTGTTGCGCTCTTCGAACGAAAATGTGAACAAGTCTTTAACTCTTTCCAGAAAAAATGGTCGTTCCATGAATGAGGCAAACACACCGCTGAGCCCATCTCTGAAACGGAAATCAATTGAGGTCCATCTTATACCTTCTAATCCATGATGTTGCTCTATTTTGACATGATTTGCTTGTTTAAAATTGTTTGTGGTTAAATCATTGAATGCAAGGATGTGGCCCTTACATTTGAGCTCTATGTTTGTGCATAGATTTGCATATTTGTTTGATGATTCTCTATCTACGGTCTAGATGCATTAAATGCTCTCTAATTCATTAAAAATTGGTGATAAATATTAAAAGATCTAGTCGCCAATAAGAACTCAAACTGCTTATGTGTGCATGATTGAAATGTGCATGTGCATGAAAGAACATTGTTACGTTAAACTTTAGAGAAATTATGTAGAATTGCCCTTGATGATAATGAGGGATTAATCCTTTGTGTGTGTATCATTGATTTAAAAATTGCTGATTTTAACAAGGATTGTCCAATCTGAACTAGAATCAATGGGTGGGTGGCTGATTCTGTTTTGGACAAAAATGTCAGTTGTCAGCTTTTTAAAAAATCAGACAATTTTCCTGAATTTTTTTTTTTGACCCCTTTTTCCACTTCGCATTGATTTTTAGCCATTACTGAATTTAGCTCTTTCTCTCTCAATTACAATCATTTTCATAGATCCACAAGATCTATGTGTAATTCTTCTTTCTCCCTCTCTCTCTGAAATTAAAAATGATTGAAGCCCTTTTTTTCAAGAGAATCAAATTGCTTGCAAAAGATATTATACTCTTGGGGCGTATATGCTATCTATTTACTCTCTCATTACTTCTTAGAGTAAAACATGTCTAGGATTAATTTTAGGATCCCAAATTTTGGGGATTTAACCTCTTCAACTCGTAGATTAACCTAATAAAAAATATTTCCTAGTTGCACCCTCTAAGCACTTGAAAAAATAATACCTCAAGATTAAATAGAGACTGTACAATTATTAGAGGGTGCGATCTAAGTGTTAAAGAACTCAAATTTCAAATCTTTTTCTTCTAATAATATTCATCTGGTGATTCTTATGTGGTTTTAATTTTGGATTAGAAAATATCCTTCTTAGTAAGTCTTCTGATCGAGGGAGTAGATGTACACCATGCTCCCACAAAAGCATAGCATACGCTTCAAATTGCTTTTCAATTCTGTTTTCAATTGAAATTCGAATAAATTGATTTAAATCAAACATTACTTCATTGTGTATTCACTTGAAATTGAATTTTTGAATAAATCAATTCAATTGTTTTTAAACTACTAAATCAAGTTAAATTAGCTTAAATCTAAAAATGATTGATTTCAATTGACTCAAAAAATTTTGGAAAATAATTATTTTTCTTCCTTTTTATTTTATGCGGGAATCGCTATGAAAGAGTAAGCTATTAGAATCACCAATTTGACCCATTTCAGGTGATTGATTCATTGTATACACACACACACGCACGTGTTACATATAGAATGGGTGTGAACTGCTAAATTACTTTAGTTGCCTCTTTCTTTGTTTGATTATTATAAAATGACTAAGGGTATTTTTATCGTTAAAAAAGGTGTTGTTGATATTTGCACCAAAAGACAAATAGTTTGTTTCGTCTCGAGAATGACATCTGAAATATTCACTGAAAGACAAAGGCATTTATATCAATAAAGTACCTAGAACTTCACTTAATAATTACCCTCGTCTTTTTAGTGAAATATCAACAATACCCTTTATAATGAACAAAATAACTTACTCAATTTATGAATATTGAATGATTAAAGGGGCAACTATAGTAACATGTAAGTAGAGGACATTCCTACCTTTTTCCTATCATGAGAGCATTTCAATCCAAGCAATATGTATTATCGATTGTATTTTGTGCATGCTAATTTGTGTTCATAATTAGATGAAATGAATGGCAGCTTGGTGCTTTTTTTCCTCAATGCTTCTCACTTCTAAAATTACATGACTTCCCAGCTTCACTGGGTATATAGGTGAGGGTGCACATGACAGAGCAATCAAGATGTATTTCAATAGGGTGCAAATATGGTAGGTTAGATGGTACTCAATTTATAGAATAAATTGGATTTTCCTTCTAGTGTTTCTGGGAATCATTATGTTAATTACTTCTATTTTTTATCGTATGTTGTTTGCTGCTTGGTATTCGATGCTTTTCAAGTGGCTTTCATATTAGTCTACAAATTACAACAATACTAGCAGATGATGCAAGAAACTAAACTAGGATATAAGCACTAAAATAAATTCTAAGTGATCACCTGAACCTCAGTCTTAAAAAAAGAAATATAATTTCAAATATGACATGTTACTACAATTGAAATATCCTATCACAACATAATTGAGAAATCTTATGATGTTCGATTCACTGTAGACTCAACCAGTGATTTCGTCATGTGGAAAATCTCTCTAGTGATATCACTTTGGTCCATTTTAGATGCCTAGGATGCCATATTTTATGTTCCTTTGTGTCTAAAGTTGAGATCTTGACATTGTCTGTAATGATGATAGAGCAAGCATACGTAGTTTCCCAGTAAAATCATTGGTTTGTGAGAAGTTTTAACTCAATCAAGCCACAGTTTCTACATGGTACCCCTATGGTTGTGAAGTGCCAAATGACCATTGTTTGAAGTAATATTTTGCATCTTCGAATATTCTGAGGTGGGATTCTTTGTGGGGAAGTTGTGTGGCTCACCGGTCTCCTAGTTTTTAGTTTATATTCGGAGCACATTGCTTTTTTGTTGCCTAATTTATTTTATGCACCATATTATTCTCAATGAACAGTTTTTTAAACTCAAAATGCTGGAAACATATTTTAGAGACCAAGTGCTGATGCAGTGGTTGTAAATCCATTGAAGAGGCTTACAACATCACCCTTTCCTAAGCACAGGTTCCTTCTATCATCCACTTTTCCATCAGAAATCAGATATAACTGGATTTTAATAATGATGCATGCTTTATTTATGAGGATCAGCAGGAAAGCTCGGGTGGCTTCTCCAATTATTGAAGAAAAACAGGTGCTTTACCTGATCTTCAAGCATATCTTGTTTTTGTCTAGTGCGCTTCATTTGTGCAATATGAATCTCAAATCCACTATGTTTTTTCCTGAATAGGTTTCCGTCGTTGAGACTGCTGAAGATGCTCCCCATGATGGTATTCACCATCCGAGTCCTATAGGTGTTGCTCTTCTGAAGTCAACCACAGCAGATTTAGATGTTCACTTACTACTTGGCAATGATGAAAATATAGAAAAAGCTGAAGCCTATTCAAAGGAGCTTGAAGATGTATGTGAATTGGTTGTTTAGGAGTTACATTATATATTTCATATTTATTTGGTGCAATGCATATCTAAATAATTTAGTGAGCGTCTATGTGAGTCTCTAGTACCTTGATGCGTGCTTTGTGATTTCCATATGCAACATGTAAATTGTTTAGTGACAAGCTTCAGCATCCTTGAAATAGGGTGACTTTCCCAGTTTGTATTTTGATATCACAAATTTGATACTGTAATTTCTAGAAATCATATTATGTAGAAGTTGAAATTGTGTTCTGTCTACTTGTAATCTCATTACATTTGGTCCAGAATCAAGATTCTTTCATAATGAAATATTGACTCCCCCCCCGCCCCCTATTTATGAAGCTACTTTGTGGTTTATAAGAAATGAATTTGCTCTCAAGTGAGATCTGAGATGTTGGTCCTTCCAAAAATGATAAGCACTTTAAGAACCATTTATCATTAATGCTTTCCAATTAATTAAATCTGTAGATAAATAATGTCATACAAATTATAAAGAAAAGATTATAAATATACTGTATACTGTTATTGTATCCGCCCTATAAAGTGCTTTGTACTTATCTTTTTTCTTTTTGTGATTTGTTTCAGTGCCTATCGATACATCCTTATGTATTGCAAGTTATGGAACAGTGAAAATATCTTACTTGATTAATGCCTATCATATTGTTGCACCTCATTTAGAATGCTTTTTAGTAAAGTTAACTTATCATTTAGAATGCTTTTAAAATATTAAATTTGTCTAGTGAGAATCATAGAAGTTAAAGAGTATGTCCGAGTCACCATAAATTTTTAAATCTATAGGAGCAGCATGTAAATCCAACCATATGCACTCATTTACATTCTAAAGCATACAATGTTCAGTTTCTCCTGAAACTTGATTTGCACCATATGAATTGCAATAAATTTAGTATGTCATCCTGTATTTTTTATTCTAGAGTACATAATGTTAAATCTTTTAACCACTTTATACAGTGTTCAATTTCTGGAAGCCCACCAACTCCAATGTTTATCCTAAGAAAATATTTCTTTTTGTCGATCAACATAAAATACATAAACAAGTGTACATGATGGTGTTGGGGATCCCGCAGGGTGCAAGACCACACCCAGACTGATAATACTTGATGGTGATTCCCAAATAGGATTATCTATCTACATGATCCAACACAAGATGGTGCCTCTAGTTTTACCCAAAAAAATAGTACTTTGCACTGCGCTTTGCCTGTAAGACTTTCAGCAACTTGGTTATCTTCATATAAGGCATGCTGCATGGTCCACTAGATGTCTTGAGCTCATATTGTCACCTCAAGAAGACATCTTGGGGGGAAGACACCATTAGAAATGCTGCTGATTTTAATTTCACTAACTTGAAATCCAAGGTTGTTTCGTACAGACATTTCTTTGTATGTTCCTCATTTGACGTCATTGCACTTTAACTAGAGAATGATAGTACTATTGCCTCATGCCTCAAATTTTTTAGATAAAGAAGGGTATTTTCGGTCTATTTGGTTCTATTGAGATTTTTATTCTGTACATACACAGAGCTGAATTTCATTAATACCAATGAGAATCTTTTTCTTTTTTTTTTTACTTTAAATTGTGATATTTCATCATCATCTTGAGATGAAATTCCATTGAGTGCATTTACTCTATAGAATCACTTGCTTGATATATGATCGTTGTACTTCTATATGTAGTTCATATGCCATTTCTATTTTTTATTAGATTTCCATAACTGAAGATGAATCACGTAAGGGTGTGGTTTGTATGTCTGAGGCCTTAAACAATCTAAGTAAGGCTCACCTTCAAATGGTATCGAAGATGTCATTTCAGTACCAGAAATCTTTATGGTGGCTTGAAAATTTATTTTAATCTTTAATTATGAAATTTCAAGCTTAAAAAATAGTGTTTATCAAGAAGATCTATGAACACTTAAAAATTGATGGTCTAGATAATGTAGTACAAGATGCACTATTTTCAAGACTTGAAGTCCATTTTTTTTATGTCCAAGGTTGAGTTGATCGGATTCGAGCATTTTTCAGCATCGAAACAACTTATTCTACTCACTTTTTGAGGAGCCCTTTAATTTGATTGTTTAGGATCTCAACCTTATATAAACTTTTGGGAAAATTGCATAAAACCCCCAAAAGTAGACTTTCTAGGCACTTTACCCCCACCCTAATTTTTCTTAGCATATTTTTCCCAAAAAATCAAGTTTTATAGCAAATACCCCCTACATAACAAATCATTTCGGATCCAAATAAAAAGAAACGCCGAACCGCAGTTGTATATTACCGGATCCATCCATTGTCGGACTGGAACTGTACACTGCCGGGCTGCCTATTCCAGACACAAGCAAATGCTGGACCGCACTTGTAAAACGCTAGAACGACCTCTCCCAAACACCGGACCGCCTCTTCCAAACGCCGGACCACCTCTTCCAAACGTCGGACCACCATGGTGAAGTGTCGGACCGTTCCAAATCAGTGACTCAAGTGCCGGAACGCCTGGCCGTCATGGTGAAGTGTCGGATCGTATTTAGTCTCGTTTTTTTTTCCAAACAAGGGGTATTTTAGTCTCATTTTTTTTTTTTTTTTGAGTTGGGGGGATATTTGCTAGGGAACATGGTTTTGGGGAAAAAGTTGCTAGAAAAAGTTAGGTTGGGGGTATATTGCTTAGAAAATCCATTTTGGGGGGTTTTATGCAATTTTTCCCAAACTTTTGTCATCAGAAATATACATCACAATCACCAGGGTACGAGTCAAACAACCAGGATTGAAGCAGTAGATAGAATTCATTTCTGGATCGTATGGAAACAGTTTCAAAACTGAACACAAGACGAATCCTTTTTCTCAAAGCATTCAAAACGAGTTGACATTGATACTTCCCATGTTTGCAGATGTGCAGCCTGCTGAAAAAGAAACATGAAGAAGCCAAGGAAGTCCTTGTCCAAGCTATTGTGAACAACAATTTTCTGCTGATGCTTAACCATCCAATATATGAAGAGAAGATATCCTTCCATGCTTTTCTATTTATTTTTTTCACATTTTTTACATTTCTCTTTATACTATACAATCCAACATTCTTGTGTTTCCTTCATCCTGAAAACATCCATGCAATTCAGAGCTATGCAAACAATCTGTTGTCAAAGGAATATCTGAGCTGATGACCCATCCAATTGCCTCCCATGATAAAGGCCTGTTTATTTATTTGACAATTTAGTATTGAAATCTTTTTGCATTGTTAGTGTCTCATTCAGAAAGCAAGGGCAAATCTCGTTTCTTTGCTGTTTCAGATTGAATCATTTGTCTCGAAACTATGCAAAGGAGGAAACTCTTTTTCTGCAGAATTGCAAGCCATACTATCAAGTTCTCAGTTCTCCGTGAATAAATAAGGCATGGAACAACTGACTCTCAAAAAGACCTTGTAGAGAATTTCGAAGATACCGTATTCAAGCAGTATGTTCTACAAGAAGCTGTGATTGTAAACTTGTAGATGAAGGACTTCTTTCCAAGTTTCTGATACAAAGCTTGGCATAAAAGTTCTGCTTAGACTTTGTTTTGATTTCATGAAAGTATCGTTAATGGATCGGTTGAAAGCTAAAACCACATACTTTGTTGGGCGCTGGAAATATGTTTCTCGTATTACAGGCAGTACTTTGGTTAAATTTCTATAGAAATTTACAAAGAAGTGTAAACTCCTGATTTAGAAAGTCGTGCACATCTTAATATGCTACAAGTAAAAATAGTATGGCATTCCATTATCCTTGTATGCATCTCGATGGGATTCATAATGGCAATTTATACAGTGACAACAAGGTTCGTCTTTGAAGTAAACAGAATTCGGATGGCTTTTTGAGTTACAAAATACCACGCAATCCAGTGTAACCAGCTGGGTCGACTGGGAATTTGATACGGGAAAAGTTTATATAGAGCTGAGGCTCTAAACCATAAAATTAGAGCCTACCCTAAAAAATTTACTAGAAGAGATTGTTTTGATGTCCAAATATCTTCAAATTGATCATCGTGACATCAAGATGCATGGACATAAAAAAAAAGGATTTCAAGCTTTGAAAATAGTGTATTTTGTAATACATTTTGGACCGTCAATTTTTAAGATTTTCAAGTTTTCACAGATCTGCCGATTTATATTATTTTTGAAGCTTTAAACTTTATAAATAAAGATGAAAATATATTTTAAGGCTATCACAAAGATTTCCAGAGTTGAAACCACATTTCTCGACACTATTTGAAGGTAGGCTCTAATTTGATTGCTTAGAGCCAAAGCTCTATACAAACCGTACCATATATATAAAAAAAAAGGGAAAAGTTTTATATAGAGCCGAGGCTCTAAACAATTAAATTAGAGCCTACTTCAAAACTTTCACTAGAAGAGGTTGTTTTGATGCCCAAATGTCGTCAAATTGATCATCTCAACATCAAGATGCATGGACATGAGAAAAACATGGATTTTAAGTTTTGGAAATAGTGCATCTCGTAATGCATTTTGAACCATCAATTTTCAAGATTTTCGTAGATCTTCTCGATCTATATTATTTTTGAAGCTTTAAATTGTATAATTAAAGATGAAAATATATTTTAAAGCTATCACAAAGATTTGTAGAAACCATACACAATTTGAAGGTGG